TGCAAAACATGGGTAGTCAAACATTAATTTCACCTTCCTTTTTTTATTCGAAGGAATAAAATCAAAATTGTCTTCCAGAAGGATGGCTGAGTGGTTGATAACCCTTTTCTTTGAAAGCCACATATTTTCCCATTATAGTGTAAGCGAACATGAAAAATAAATTATGATTATTTTATATAAATTATTTTTATTTAAAATTTTAATTTCTGTGAAATCAAACAATCACGAAGTTATAGCCTTAGTCTGAACCCTTGATTTTGATTATTAAAGACTCGATTTTAATGGATGTAGTTCATAGTTTTTATTATTGTGATTGTTGCAATTAATTTTTCGGTATGTATTAATTCATTTGTGAAAAGCAAAGAATAAATAATTTAGCTAGAAGATATAGATATACTTCTAGAGTTTATCATTAAATGTTTTCTTAATGGAGTAATGCATTTAATTTGGATGAATTTCTTGAATTAATTCATTTAATTTGGATGAATTTCACATGGATATATAATGATTCTAGTTAATTGAGTAGATTTATCCTATGTTTGGGCTCCATTTTAATGTGATTTTGAACGAAAATATATTTTAAAATAATGATTTTTTAGAAAATGTATGGTTAAAAGACAAGGAAAATTTTTAGATTTACATTTATTATTTTANATAAATAATTTAGCTAGAAGATATAGATATACTTCTAGAGTTATCATTAAATGTTTTCTTAATGGAGTAATGCATTTAATTTGGATGAATTTCTTGAATTAATTCATTTAATTTGGATGAATTTCACATGGATATATAATGATTCTAGTTAATTGAGTAGATTTATCCTATGTTTGGGCTCCATTTTAATGTGATTTTGGGAGAAAATATATTTTGAAATGGTGACTTTTTAAAAATGTGTGATTAAAAAAAATAAAATTGAATTTACGTGTAATATTATTCTATTAAAGAATGTCTGATTAAAAAAAAAAGGAAAAAATATATTTTTTGAACAGGGGAGCCCATGTTTGAGCCTCGTTTTATAAAAAAACTCACATTCCTTTCAATAAATAATTTACATGTAAATTCAAAACATCCCCTCACTTTTTAACCACATTCTCTGAAAATATTGTATTGCAAATTCCATTCCCCCTAAAATGGGGTCAAAACATTCGATCTGCTCATGAGATGTTTTTAGTTGATTGAGAGAAGTTCGATCGGATACACAACTTAATTATTTTCTTGGATTTGTGCGATGAATCAATGGATATGGATAAGATGAAATCGGATGTCCTACCATTTCTCTCATCATTTTAAATCTCAAAATTGACTTTTTTGCATTGGTTTAAATACATAGTAGGGTTCATTTTAAATCAATTATTGGTAATCCAATTTTTGTGTTAACGATAATTTAAACTCTCTGAAAAAGATTCAAGTAGTGCGACCGGACAAATTCAAAGAAAAATAATACCAAAGATGACGACCATTCGATGCAAATACCACTTGGCCATGGGAACATTAATATAAATATTTGACTTTGGATCAGAATGTGTTTATTTTATTTTAAATTGTTCCAAATTTCAATCGTTGATAAAATGAACAATTTTTTTTTTCTTTATGCCGTGACAGCAATGATATTATAAATATTTGCAGATTCTTTCAAAAACTGAATATTATATTTTGAATGTGTTCGCTTAAAAGGAAAAAGTGACAAGTCAAGTTCGTGTTTGGGAGCAATTTTCCACAAATTTTAATGCATTTTCTCATCGTTGCAAATTTACCGATCCCCACTTGTGCCGTCATTTTTGACTCCACACGAAACAAAATACCAAAATTGTCATTTTTTAAAGAATATTGAATTAAATGTTAAAGGGACATATTAATCAGTCTAGGTCAATAATTGTGACTGCATCTACTGTATAACGATACGACTTTCACTACAAATTTGATGAAAGTTTATCCTAGGCAGGTGCTAAATATGTCTCATAAAATATTTTCTTAATAAAATTTGCTAAATTTTTATCAAATTTAAATTAATTAAATTCTAATTTTAATCATAAAGTTCATAACTTCTATTGAAATATGAAAAAAAATAAATTTGTCACGTTCCCATAACATTCACCAAGTAAAATTCTGACAGCATGTTTTGGACAGAGTACCTATAAAAGGACAGCATGACATTGTCCAACGGCGAGATGAAGAATGTGACTATGTGAGTAGCATTTATAGTACGACTTGTGAATCTGTGATTGAATTTGTACATAAAACAACAAAATTGTATGAATCTTAAGACAATTTCGTTCACGTCTCAGTCTGGTCTGGGCCATGTCCGTGACTACTTGCACTTACACAAAGTATCACATTGTTACTGTCTATGGGAATAGAGACGTTGTATTTTCAACTTACAAAATAGCGAAGATTTAAAAAGGATGAGTCACATCCTTGACGGTCATCACCTGTCTTGCCCGGACCTGGGTGAATGAGGTAAATCACAGATTATGCCTTCAAGGGCACAAAGTGGAAGACTGCTTGTACACTTGCACTTACCTAAGGGCCAAATCCATATTTCAGGATTCGAACCCTTGACGTTTCAACCTCAAGCAAAATTGAAGTTTTCCCACCTTCCTCTTTTACCACTTTGGAGATGTGTCATGGGGGCTTCTATCGCTTCTTTTAGTAAATATTTAAAGAGGGCAATGAGTAAAAAACGTTCATTGATTGAGTTTAATTACTACACATGAGACGACTTTCATTGTATTAAGATTGAGGTGGACCGTGGCTTGTCGGCACGCGAAAGTCATTAATAATTAGTTGAATAATAAGGTATGTAACTATCAGTTGTTCAAGGAGATTGACTTCAGATATAAACAATAGGATTATATAACTCGATCAATCAAATGGATAAAAAGTGGACTTTTACATGATATAACGTTATTTTAGAGTTGTTTTACTACTTTGTATAAAAGTCGTCACAAATTAACCACATTTTCTTGATATTCAACTCAGTAACCATAGTAGCTTTCCTTCCTACGAATAAACTATATGCTTATACTGCAAAATTAGAAGTATCGGTGAAAACTACAAGTCCTTGTCTGTTACAGTTAAAAAAAAAAAATTTATTGAAAAGTTGATAAAAATCACGAGTCTCATGAAATATATGATTAAAATTAATTATCGATTTTAACTTTATTTTTTTCAAAAATGCTAGTGTAACAGAGTCAGTGACCTACCAAAAAGCAGGGGGCCGAGTTGGCCCTTGATTTTTACTGTTGCAATTCTGATCAATGGCCGAGATGAAGCCACATCGGCCCCCTTTTTTGGGTCGGTCACCGACCCTGTCACTGTAGCTAAAAGTTGAATGTTTTATCGCTTCTGTTAAAGAGGATGAGCCGCATCCTTAACGGTCATCAACTATCCTGTCCGAACCTTGATGAATGAGGTAAATTACAGGTTATGCTTCCAAGGACACAGAGTGGAAGGCTGCTTGTACACTTGCACTTACCTAAGGGCCAAATCCATATTTCAGGATTCGATCCCTTGACGTTTCAGCCTCAAGCAAAATTGAAGTTTTCTCACGTTCCTCTTTTACCACTTTGGAGATGTGTCATGGGGGCTTCTATCGCTTCTTTTAGTAAATATTTAAAGAGGGCAATGAGTAAAAAACGTTCATTGATCGAGTTTAATTACTACACATGAGACGACTTTCGTTGTATTAAGATTGAGGTGGACCGTGGCTTGTCGGCACGCGAAAGTCATTAATAATTAGTTGAATAATAAGGTATGTAACTATCAGTTGTTCAAGGAGATTGACTTCAGATATAAACAATAGGATTATACAACTCGATCAATCAAATGGATAAAAAGTGGACTTTTACATGATATTACGTTATTTTAGAGTTGTTTTACTACTTTGTATAAAAGTCGTCACAAATTAACCATATTTTCTTGATATTCAACTCAGTAACCATAGTAGCTTTCCTTCCTACGAATAAACTATATGCTTATACTGCGAAATTAGAAGTATCGGTGAAAACTACAAGTCCTTGTCTGTTACAGTTAAACAAAAAAAAATTTATTGAAAAGTTGATAAAAATCACGAGTCTCATGAAATATATGATTAAAATTAATTATTGATTTTGAATTTATTTTTTTCAAAAATGCTAGTGTAACAAAGTCAGTGACCTACCAAAAAGCAGGGGGCCGAGTTGGCCCTTGATTTTTACTGTTGCAATTCTGATCAATGGCCGAGATGAAGCCACATCGGCCCCCTTTTTTGGGTCGGTCACCGACCCTTTCACTGTAGCACGGTTGTATTTTCTTTTATCAACTTCTAACTACACCAAATAGGAAAGTAAGTATCGGCCTATCAATGAGGAAGTATGAAGTATGATGAAATATTGTGATATGGTGGTCTAAAGCAAGTTCTAGAAAGGTTTTACAGTCGACTTTACGAACTAGAGCATATACACTTTTCTAGTTAGACAAATCACAATCGCGAATATAATCATTAAAAGCTAATTTGTATTCTAGGACAACCAATTAAAGAAAAAGACATGATTATGGTCTTGTGGGTCCAGAATAAGCTGTCTTTGAAAATAAGCAATAATTTGTTAATTACTGTTAGAGACGTTATTACCTAATTCTCATTCATAGAAGGCATCTTCAATAGAAAAAAAAAATTAATTAATTAATTATATCCCCACCCCTCAAATAAAAATAAATAAATCAAGAAACATAGAAGAAGAATCTTGATTGATGTCTTCATTGTTGTGCCAACACATTAAAATTACAAATCAACAGATGTACACTTGCCCTTTTCTGCTTATAATTTTGCTTAATTCTGTTCTGTAAAATTTTACTTCTACACTACAACAACATTAACATCAATTGGTTGGTCCAAATACAGACAACTTTTTTTTAAAAAAAAAAAAAGGAAATAAAATTGGGAAATATATAGAAATAAAAATAAAAAAGAAAATTCAACATACATACCCCACCACTACCATGCGATGATGGAGACATATGCTTTAATCATCTGATTGAATTTCCTTTTTTACCCTTGATTCAATCCCATAATAACTAGTGTACCACTTTGCGAATTTTCTCAATCCTGTAGCCAAATCCGTGGTGGGCTTGTACCCGAAGTCCCTGTACGCAAGGCTCACGTTAGCATGGGTGTATGGAACGTCACCGTTTCTTGGCATCTTGATCACGTGTTTCTTCGCCTTCACATTCAGCAAACTTTCTAAGATGCCCACCAATTTGTTCACTGTCACGGGGGCGGTGTTTCCTAGATTGTACACTCTCAGCTGCGCCGGCGCACGCTTCTTGCCGCCGCTTCCGGTGCTCTTCTCCGCCGTGTCGAGTGCGCCGACACATCCTTTTACTATATCATCGATGTAGGTGAAATCACGCGCCACCTCCTTGCCGTCTGGTGTAACATACACGTTAATCGGCTTGTGTTGGAGTATGTCCTTGGTGAAGAAGAAGTAAGCCATGTCCGGCCTGCCCCATGGTCCATAAACAGTGAAGAATCTCAACCCAGTAAGGGACAGCCCGTAAATGTGATTATAAGTGTGAGCAATTTCTTCGCCGGCCTTTTTTGTGGCGGCGTATAAGCTCGCCGGCTGGTCAGTCCTGTGGCCCTCTGAAAATGGGACTTCTGTGTTTAACCCGTAAACGGAGCTTGAAGAAGCCCAAACAATGGCGGGTTGTGGATCAGCAGATTTTGCAACCTCAAGCAAGTTCACAAATCCAGCTACGTTTGAATTTACATACGAAAGTGGGTTCTGCATAGCATAACGAACCCCAGCTTGCGCCGCCAGGTGAAGAATATGGCTGAATGGGACAATGTCGAAGAGCTTATTTAGCAGTTCGGCATCGTTAATATCTCCCTCGACTACAAAGATTTGATGCTTACCAAGTAACTTCTGTCTTGCCCTTTTCAACGATGGATCATAGTAAGAGTTAAAATTATCCAAACCCAAAACACCATCACCACGTTTCTTCAACGCCAAGGAACAATGCACGCCGACAAATCCGGCAGCCCCAGTGACCAACACAGAGAACCCATTAGGGCGTCGAGGTGTGGCAGAGTGGCGAACTTGTTTTTCCCAGGCGGCACCGCTTCCATAAAAGGCAGAGGAGAACAAATGATTCTTGGAGTGAATATGATGCGGATTATCCGTAATTGGCGGATAATTAAGAGTGAAAAACAAGATCAAAAGAAGGGCAACTAAAAGGGTTACACGGAAGAGGAGTTTTGAGGAGGCTTGAAGGAGCTTCGTGCTGTTCACACGGCGGATGTAGCTGTTATAGCGTTCCATCTTTGTTGTTTTGCTAGTGTCCGGTGGAGAAGAAGCCATTGTATGGTACTGCATTATTTCTTCAAGATTATGTGTGTGTTTTTCAAGAAAAACAAAACCTTTTTTGGGAAATCTTAGATCAAAGTATTGAATTTGAGGGCTTGCGTGTGTGTATTTTTATTTTATTTTGCTGACCCTGAACTTGGAAGTGTTAGATGAATGGATTATAAAGAAAATAAGAGGAGGTGGGGTGTGGGTGTTG